TGTTGAAGATATAAGTAATCCCCTTACTAATATTATATCCAATGTATGACGTAATAGCGATCAAAAGAAGAACGAAAGTAATAGGAAAGAACTAAAAGCGACAAAAAGAAAGCCTTAGATAAGTAATAATCCAAATAGTAAATTCAGATATCTTAATAATCACACAGACCACGAACGCGATAAAAATCACGAGAAGGATAGATATGATATCGGTAAAACTTTCTTTATCAATGAAAGAAGAAGACATTGATTAAAATTTTAAGAAAGAAGTTTAAGAAACATTTTTTTTGAATACTAATTATTATATATCTTATGAGGATGACATCATTTGATTAATTGATTTTGTATACTTTTTTTATGCATCATTGGATTTTACTGATGTTATATTTCGGAGTTCAAAGATATACATATTTACATATGAAAGAACTACATAAACAATGATTTATTTTTCGATTCCTTTATAAAAAAGTGGAGGTAGCAAGCGAAATGTATGATGCTATCAAAGAGGGAGGGAGTACGCGGATCCTAGGCCATTTAGTGCGAGTCCCAGCATCAAGTTTTTCTTTGCTCTCAAAAATATAACTAATTTATTTCTATCAATATAGCTAACTGCAAGATTCTCACCCCACGCTCTTTTACTATTCTAGATTTTCTAAATATATTATCCCACCCATATCTACGCCTATCTATATCACTACCACCTGCACAGACTATGTAAAATAATATTTCCCACAAGAGAAGTTTTCTGAGAGGAAGTAATTTCGATTCTATAGAAAGAATTCGAAGATTAGCAATGAGATATAAAAAATAATCAATGCAGACGTATTTCCGATTCATACTCACCACTACGATTCATTTTCATAACATTCCATTCCGCCTGAAATTTGTTGCTTAATACATTACAATAAAGGTAATTCGATTTTTTTATCGTCAGTATATACTGCGTCAAGTATCAAGAATTCGGCACGTGAAGATGCTTAATTTTACTGCGTCGATGATGCACATGTAATTGATTAGATAAGATAATATCCCATCACGGGGATTTATTTTTGTGATACTGCTCCAGTTGTACGCGTGATTATGGTCAGTGATTTTCTCGGCGAAGATCAAAATGCCGATACATAACAAGAAGAGTAATATGTCCGTTTTATTTTGGAACATCTATAGAGGCGGGAAAATCGATTAACATTGTGATGACATGTTTTAAGAAGCTAGCCAAGCAATAAACTAACTTACTTTATTATGACTTTGTGGAAAATGCAAGTTCGTTTGATTGTTAATATCAATGATTTTAATAATGGTAAGCTTGATTGATTTGAATTTTTTTGCTTGATTTTTATTTTACTTGCATGAGGCAGATAAAAGGATTCACTAGCCAGGACATCACCTTTTTATACAATTTGCAGGATCGATCTTGGAATACGCTTTTGGGGAAAATTACGTTAATATGAACACATCATGAAAATCTGATCAACGGCTTCTCCTTAAATCTAACAATAAAGAATTTAACGCTATCCATAATCCATATGTAAAGATCATCAAGGGGCTATACATAATTTTGAGAATGTGCGAGAAAGTTTGAGAATGCACAATTACTTGTTCCTGTGATACATCATACATGTAATAATTACTATAATATTACTGCGTATTTATTTATCAAGCTACAATATACTTGATCAAACAAATAATAGTACGCACTTTGCTTCACACAATCCTATCACTCATTCCATGCGAAAAAATTATAAAATGTCTAGTAAATTTGCACCATTACTTTATTGATCAAATTACTTGAGGACATTCACATCGCTTATAAATTCCTTCCGCCACCTTCTTACACCTTTTGCAATACAGATGTGAGTGATGATCACATTCCTCACAAACCTTACATCCATGCTTCCATCCCCTAAATATATGCCATTTTTCAAAGTAGTTCTGCCTTAGCAAAGCGCCTTCCAGCTCTTTATAAGCTGTACTATCCTGATTGTTTGTTAAGAGATTCGGCATGATATATAAATATTAATATAATAAAAAAAAAATTCTCATATGACCAAAATTTCATTTACCTTGGAATTTGCACAGTCCTATTATTTCAGCAGTGCATTTATCATGGCAATGAGTACATTTTTTCGGGTGATTGATTTCACATGATCTGTTTTTGTCCTATGCTACAGTACAATTGCGAACTTTAGTTTATTGCTTGAAGTATTGCAGGTAAGACAATATTCCAACTTATCCTGGAAATACAACTTCGCTAATTCAGGATCATAAGGGAACTGATTCCCATTTTCGCAGTACCATGAGCCATGTAATCCATAATTCCCATGTTTTCCATCGCAAATAGGACATGGTGAGCTCCACGGCTGAGGTGATGTAAAATCATAATTATCAATCCCTCTGAAACTATTTCCGAATTTCAAGTATGGGAAGTGCTTTAAGACGGACTTAATAATTAATTTTGGATCGGGTCTGGCTTCGAAAGTGATGGGCCCTTTTTCTTCACATTGCTCAGGAGAAGTTAAATAGGATACTTTGTTTTCTGGTTTCGAATTTATGAGAAGGCGATCTTCTGATAATTGCCATGGCTCACATCCAGTTTCTTTTTTATATCTTTTGTAAAATTTGAAGCGAATTTTATCTGTCAAAACGCTTGGTAGCCCACTTAATTTGGCATGCCAATCTAGGTATTCGGGAGTTAATATTTTATTGGATTCGCTCATGTTTCCTTTTTTCTATGATCACAGATCAATTTAAATCCCCGCCCCTTTATTCTTCGAACTGCAGGGTGAGAAAAAAAAACCTATCTGTTATACGGAGCCTGCGAGCCTGCGAGCCTGCAAGTAAGAAATATATCACTTTTCTCCCACCCCGAAATCTTTGATTGAGGGGGTAAGACTATGCAGTTATCTCAATTTCATGCTGTTCACACTTAATAAAGTAAGATCCGGCTTTATACCTACCTTCTATTTCTTCATCATTATGACCTAATTTGCATAATGGGCAGATGGTCTCTCTCGAGACTCCGCATGATGTCTCATCAGTAATTCCATAATAATCGAAATTTTCACTACTACATTCTCTATATAGATTAGGATATTGATCCAATATCTTGTTGCGAAAATAGGTGCGGTCATGAGTCCTACTTGCTTGAGGTGTGACTGATGAAATCATTGATGCGCTTACCTCAGAAGATTCAGTCACGTGCGCGTGACGATTTGTCACGCTGATCATTTTTTGGCATTCATCTGTATCATCCGTAGAAGACTTATAAGTCTTGGGAAAACAACTTATAATGCCTTGGATCTGAATTTCTATCAAACTTGAAATAGCACTTGCGCTATAAGTAACTGCTTGAATTTTATCTATTCCTATCCCCTCGAATAATACATAAACCTTTTTAGCTCTAGAAGTGATTTTACGCAAGTTCACGTCAGTAATGTCTGGAAGAAGGGATTTGATTTCGCTGTATACCAATGTCCTTGCCGATTGGTCGTCAATCTTATTCGTAGATTTAAAATCCCTAATTCGATCCTCGTACGCTTTATAGTAACAATACCAGCATAGTATCTCCTTATGTCTGACCTTCATTGCTACATTAAATAGTTCGACTATGGTTTGTGCTGTAATTTTACTAGATCCTGTTAGAATCGCTTCTAAGGAGAATTCGGGAATCTGAATGTCAAACACCCTACCATCGCTGTCCTTACTGCAAAAAGATGATAGTTCCTGCCTTAAACCTCGCTCCACTTTTTCCCTATAGAGGATTTTTTGATGTGACGGAGTGTTCTGTTTGTCTCTCTCCTTCAAACATAGTTTCTCAACATTTTTCCCTGAACACGAACTAGTGGGTGGACAGGATGAGACAGAAGTAACTGAGGATGAGTCTTGGGTAGTTAATTCATGCTGAAGTTTTATTTTCCGCTTTCTCTCCCTTATCTCATTACTAACCTTCTTCCTATGCACCTCATCTAAGAAAGAATCCGTCTCTCTATCATCCTCCAATGATTTAGATTCGGTAGTATCATACTGGTCTACAACGGAAGATATATTAGTTTGATCTAAAGGTATTGAATCGAAATCCTGAGATATAGGGTCAGCATTATTCTTTTCAATAGAATGATCAGAGCAATCCGATTGCTTTGAAATCCCCTCAATATTTGGCGAAATAGATGATTGTGAACTTATTGAATGAATTGGAGACTTTGGTATGAATGTATTGCTTTGTGCCAAAATATTAACATTTTGTTCCTGTTTGATTTCCCTGATATCATCATCTAATTTAGCAATAAGGTTGGTCTTTTCTTTATCTCTCTGTTCTAGGTTCGTGAATCTGGCTTCATGTTCTTCCAAAGCATGCTTTAACTTCGCATTCTCAACCTTAACTTCGATATTCTCAGCCTTGACTTCGGCATTCTCCTTTCTAAGTTCACTAATCTCGGCCAAGAGTTTCGAATTTATTTCTTTCAATGAATCAATCTCAGATTGCATGTTTGATAATACTTTTTATATGAGATGGGATAGTTCAAAAGTTCGAGTTAGTATAGTAATAGATAAAAAAATCATGGTCGCGTGACAATTTGACACACAGATCACTTTTGCCAAGAAAATTTTTTATTAAAGTCCGGGACTAATGTTTGTTCACTAAAGTGAATGAGTAATATGCGATAAGACATCTCGTTGCCTCTCCCTCTCTCTTTCGAGGCGACGATAAATTTTTTTGGCATGCTTGGAGCAATAGCCCGTATAAGATAATGTAGGTTTATCGCATATTCTACATGGAGATTTTAGCATATTATTTGCACCTGATTTCCAGTGGAGCGAGCATCCCACCAAGCGAGTGCAAACACGGCCACAAACACTTCCATCTTTTTTAATGTGGGGACAGGTAAGACGTTCCATTTATTATATTCTTGCACCTTTCACATTATAGAATTCGAATTTCAAAATGAGAAAATCCTAATTGAACTGTGGTGGAAAAAGTATATCGTAAACGATTAATCATATACCACAGCATAAATCATCATCTATGAACGCGGAAAAAACAGTACTCAACATTCTAACCGGCCGATGGATCGATCCAAACAGAAAGCTATTCCAGAAGTTGATTCGGGAAGGCTATAAATATGTTGATAGACTCTCAGATTATTTAGAAGACATTGGAATCATATATGTAGGTGAATTTGAGCTGGATCCCTTAGCCGACTTCTACCACCCAGCTCTAATTCCGCCTCTATCTGTCTTAGCAATTAGAGCAGATATTCGTGAAAAATTTATTATTAGTGTGGAGTCTGCTGTTATGGGAGGAATGAGTCTATTTACTCTAGAAAAAAATAAACGATCTTCGCTCCAGAATCTAATCCAAATGAACTATTCCATTGATAACTTGACTACGTTAATAGGAATAACTTGGGAGCAAGAAGAGATGAAAACTTGGAGGAACGACGTGCTTATGAAATTCCTCCATCATTCAAATTTAATTCCTTCGAAGCATAGACCGGGTGCATTATATGATGCATTTACCAAGACTAGTGTTTTAGGGCCAGAACATATATTGGCTCTAGCGCGAGCATTTTGCTAAGGCGTGATTACGATATAAATAATTGTTTATAGCCCTGGAATGGCAGTTCCATGACTATATATTTTTTCGCTTATCATATTTATCTGCAAAATTCAAATTTTTTTTTATTAATACATGCGAAAAATAAATACAAATGTTCGGGACGTAGCCCGTGATACATGATGTCTATCTAATATACATGATTATTTTTTCTTGATTATTTCTTCTACACGGCGCTTCTTATTTGCGGGTTCCTCACTAGCTGATACCCTATCTCTTAACAAGCCCACTATAACCCCTAAAATCCTCTTCACATTCTTGCGCAAGTCGGTTGAGTCCTTGAGTGCGTCTTCAGTCAGAGAGATGCGATACTCAGTCTTGCTCGTACAATAGATAGCCTCGGTGCTATGTAGAATGAAATACCAGTCCGTGGCTAAGAAATTGTGAGAGTTAGTGTTGCAAAAGCGAAACAGAAACCTTCACTAGAGTCATTTTCTCACCTGTTGTGACGATACCATAGACATATTCATACTCCTCGAATGCTTCATCAGCCGTACGCTTTTTCTTGAGCGTATCTAAGTTCATCTATGTTTACAGATGATGATTTGTTAGTATTTTCTGATAGAAGGATATTCGAATGGAGGCTAGACATAAAAAAGGTATTACTTACTTCGCACGAACTTCGACATTGCATAAGGTTCTGAGCCACTCCTTTCCCTGGCTGGTTTTGCTTTCCTTCGGTTATGCATATTATTTCTTCGAGCAAATCATCCAGTATTTTCTTGATCGCATAATCTACACGGCCGGAACTTTCTTCACCAGATACATTCATCTGAGGTAAGATTACCAATCCTCCGAGGATGCTGACAGCAGTATGAAGGATTGTAGAAATGTATTCTCAACGCATAGCCTCATTACTATCTACGACTGGCCCCATGTTTTTTATCCTACGAAGAATGTCATCAATGCAGAGCTTAATCTCTGGAGATTTTTCATCGATTGTGTGGGGTTTTTTAATTTTTTATTTTTTTTTTTTTTTTTTTTATTTAAAAAGGTTGGCATGTGCATAACTTACCTGGTGTGAACTGGGGGATGCTCGTTATACTACTACTCTTAATGCCGTATTTTTCTAACACTTCCTCCAAACTGCGGTATGAGGAAAACGCACGCTTCTTTTTCTCCTTACACTCCTTAGCGAAGTCCGCAAGTACTATGGCTGTTCCTATTTCAAACCCACTATCTCTGAAATCTTGTTTGTCCATGTTGAGGAAAGCTCGACCGACTATTTCTCGTTTGCGCAAAATTTCGAAATGAGCATCGTTAAGAAGTAAGTCCTTTTCCCCACGCAAGAAATCTATAAGCTTGGCCGTATCATATTTTTTAATTTCGTCCGCCAACGAGACAGTCTCATTTCCAGCAACAGTAGTAGAGGTGGAAGCTGGAGTATAAGGTGTACTGGTTTCAGAAGACATAGTGTTACGTTTTTATAGTGATAATAGGCTCGGACAAAAAAATAGTGTTACGTTCGGAGTGAGATAAAATTTTATATCTGTTCGGGAAAGGGAATACTGGGTATTAATATAGGTTTTTATGTAGCACAGGCATTGCATCATTACACGTGACCCTTTCTCATATACGTTCGATAAAATAATACTTTATTTATGAAATACTGTAAAATAGTTGCCGGTAGCCGGCTTACAATACATAAAAATTGGCCGTTAAGGCGCTTCGCACGAATATTTCGCATTACAAGTCATAATAACCATATACATCATCCTCTATAAGAACATGGTAAACGTCCGCAGTGAGATTTTCATCAAAATAATTAGAAATCAATCCCCCTTGTCGCATAGCAACGTAATTTACAAGCCCAGAGCGGAGTGCGCGAAGATAAAATGGGACATTTCTGAATTGCTGAGGTAACTGTTGTTGAATCTGAGCGTGAAGATTTCTGACTGTATTTCCAAGGGGAATTGTAACCGTTAGATTAGCATCATTGTTTGGAATTCCAGTGAAGCGACCGGTGGGAATTATAAGGCAGTTGAGAGTAATATTGGCCATATTTTCGTTTTCTGGAATGCAAGGGCCCGTTGTGAGAAATTATCGCTTGCAGTAAACATGACTTTTGGCATATACATACCTCAATTATTTTTGCGGAAAGTTGGCTGAACTTCCACATATCTCTACATACTTTATATCTTGCTGGAAAAAGAGCGCCAAGCCGAAGTTAAGGAAATAAGAATAGTGATTAGCATTGTCGTATGATGCCAAGAGTTCTATGAAGGCACATGCAAATAGAATTCTCATACCTTTTCACATGTAGATCTACCGGAAAGACATAGTTGGTTTTACGCCTGGCGATCTCGAAATTCCAAAGTCCTCAGCCTTTCATAACATATGCTTTTGTCGGCACTATTTACTTTTAGAGCTGGTCCTGTGCTCCAACTAGACCTCCTTTCAAGCGAAGCGCCTGTGAAGCAGGCCATTTTTCTCATGTTTGTTCGGGAAAAAAATAAAGAATAAAGGTTAATATGTTTTTCGAATATATATGTGAAAATTAATATGTCGCACAAACCCTGCCTGGTGATCGGCCTTTTTCTGTCACACAATCTGTGGCTCAGCAAATTCTTCCGAGCTGAAGAGGTCCTAAAGGGACCAGATCACTGACCTCGGACTGACCAATATATACCATCCGGGCAGGTCCTGGAGGGACCCCATATTTCTGATCGAAGTTCAAGTGGATAATATGGCAATTCTATTAGACTTATTATTTGTGGGAGATAAATAACATTGGATTGTAAGAGTACATGGAATAATGACGTTGGATTACTTACACTGGGTAGACTATATACAAATCGCTTAAGTATTTTCTCTCTCCAATACTTGACAGCTTTTGTGTTCCAATGGGTCTTAATTTCACAAAAAAGGTCATCCCAGTCATACCAATCATCATAAATAGTCCAATCCTCTTCTCTCTGTCCATATTCTTTGGTAAATTCATTGAAGGCTTTCTCCTTCTCAGCATCTATATCCTCATCAAACATTTTGCTAATATTGTAGATCAATTATACTTAATAAAAAATAAAGTACTGGTAGCGTGCATAGCTTCTTTTCAGTATATGCGAAAATTATGTTGCACATGAGGCTGACTGCTGATCCACTTATTTTTCTGTCGCACAGGAGTGGCCCAGCAAATTCTTCTTTCGAGCGAAGTGATCACCGCTCCGGACTAGTTAGATCGAACTCCCAGATATTCACTCAGCTCGGGATAATCGAACACGCCTACAATCCTATCCTGTCTTTTATTCTTGACAGTGATAAAGCCGGTTGCCCTATCATATGTGTGCTCATATTTGGCTGGATTGCATAGGGTTAAATATTGTGTGGGATTAGTAGTAAACTTACCCATTGTCTTGCGCCTGTTATTTCTTGATTTTTTAGCCATTACCAGATAGTTTGTCCGATTCAATTAATCTATTCTTTTTCTGAACAAATATGAGAAATAAGGGAGGGCTGATTAATCAACCTGGCATTTCATCTATATCACTTCTTAACATTTTTATATATCTGAAAAAAATAAACTGAATATTTATCGCACAATCTGGCCGAAGGCGCTGTGTATAGCTCGTCTATTTCCAAATTTCAGCTAACATTGCATCAATTTCTGCTAACATTGAATCCATATCCATTGTTTGAGACTTTTTTGGATCGTTATTTCTAGACTGAGATGCAGGTGAAGAAGCCTGTGTTTGGGGTTTTGGACCATCACCTGTCTCTGGTTCAGATTTGGGCTCCTTCTTTGATTTTGGATCACCCAAAGCGTAATTTTTTCCTGCATCAAGACGGTTAATTTTATGTCTTAATGCGATTTCTGAAAGATTGTCGAGATGTTGAGGGGTTGGATTTGGACCGGCATGAATCATCGAGGCGTGTTTAGCTCCTATTTTTCTTAGAAGCTCGGGGGTAATCTCATCTTCGTCCTGATTAGTTTTTAAACTCTTTATGAATTTGGCAAATGGCACATTATTACGCTTTTCAGTTTCAGTATAAACTGGATCACGCAACTTCCCAGCCTTAATAGCGTCTTGAATCCAGGTAAGTAATTCCCTAGCACGTTCTAGATCCTTTTCCATAGAGAGTAAGCGCATAGGCATCGGTTTATCTCTCTGTTTGCGACATCCAGTGCAATACCAAGAATAACCAGCTTTATACCACGCTGGCGGATCTTCAGAATCTGGTTTGTAATTAATAATCTGGAGAGATGATACTTCAGCAGGCCTCATGCTCAGCATCACTATCACATCCGCGAGATCCTGCATAGAGGGAATTTTAGAAGTATCGATATTCTGGAGTCTCCTATGCACTTTCTCAAAGGTGAAATGTTCTGGAGTTCTACCTGGATTAGCCAAGCGCTTCTCAGTCCGCTCTTGCTGGATTTTATTGGAAGCTGTAGTGGTCTTCTAATCTTTGGCATAGCGATCAATAAGTTCACGATCTGCCCCGTACTCTGCTAAATACTTACGAAATCGTGATTGGTTTGAGCTAGAAGCAACCATTTCCTTATCATCAATTACTCCATCCTTACTTCCTTTTGGTCCCAAATCTAAAGTATTAATAAAAATATCCCACTTATCTTCACTTTTAGTGACTTCTTGAGCCTTTTTCCTGACTGAATATATCATATTTCTCTGATCTGGCACGAGAGCCTCTTTCTGCTCTTTGCTAAATGCACTTCTCTTTTCAGTGCCTCTCGCAAGGGCTTCCTTAACGCACTTACGGGCCTTCCAATCTGGAAGTAAAGCATTAAGTTCAGGGGCATGTTCGCTTAATTGCTCTGGGCTGGACTCTGCGGATAAGTTATATCTTTCTAAGAACTGTTCTAGAATCAAAACGAATTTATTAGTTTTCACTTTCTGGGTCTTTTGAGTGGGTTCTGCAGTAGACATGTCGATATAAGTAGACTTCAGTTGTTTCTTCTACTTATATTATGTGAGAAAAAATTCAATTCGAAAAATTATATCCCACCTGGCCGAAGGTGATTTGCATGAGCATTTCTCTGATTATATCTTGGGAGATATGACCCGCTGAGACATCGCATTTTTAAATATCTATAATAAAAGTGAAAGTGAAGTTTTAAGATTATTAATATTAAAATTACCTCGTATGGGTCGTTTTATCTGCCAATACATCAAGAGAGATGGTTCGAACTGTGGAAAAGGAAGCATGAGTAAATTAGGATGCGCCAGACATTATAATGCCCTTCCTAGAACAATATGCCCTATCTGCGGGTAGGGAACCTATTCTGATACTGGAATCTGTAGCACGCATAGCTGATTTTATGACCGTGCCTGGCGCGAAAGTAAAAAAACTAAAACAGAATCTAATATGGTCAAGATTTAGCTGAATAACTATCTGGGCTGAAATATTATTTGTCCTGCCCTATAGAATCAAAGAGTTCCTGAATATCATTATCTGTTTTCAGCCTATATGGTGGAAGCTCTGGCGCACCTTTATCTCCAAAACCAAGACCATCATATGGTTGCCGATTAATTTGATATGAACGTTCCCAAACCTGTTTTTCTTTAGGCCCTATTTTTTTCCTATTTATCTTTACAGTATAGTCACACCAATTTCCAGCAATTGCATTAATTGCCCTTATAGCTGAATTAAGATCCGATGTTACCTTAGCACGAGACTTAAATCCGAAGAGTAATAGGGATTGATCCAGGACTTTTATAAACCTCTCGCAGGATTGTGTGAATGTTTCTGATATTATATTACTGGAAAGAATACGCTTATCATCTATGCCGGTAAAGCCTAGTATTTGAAAGAGTTCTCTTATAACTTTCCAATGATTAGCTGAATATGATTTGTGCAAGTCCTCCGCTACTGATTTTTCAGAATTATATCTAGCTTTATAATGGCTATCTTCCCATTGCGCAATATCTTTGGCCTCTAACCCTTTCATTGCACTTTCCTCATCATAGCCTTGCTTTCTAAAGTGAGATAACCGCAAGAAATGTTTCTGAGGTTCAGGCGGACTAAAATATTTTACAAACTTCTTATTGCAAAGATTATCCCAAATCTTATCATCCATATCTTTACCATAAATATTTCGCATATAGAAACGTTTAAGTGCCATAGTATCTGGGATAGAGCGTTCTTGGTCAAACTTAAGATTTTCAGCTTCTTCAAGATCAAGATTCCGGGAAGTAGCAACCGCATCAAAATCTGTTTCCTTGATAACTAATGCTTCAACCCTAACCTCATTG